AAATTCGATTGCATTTTCAATCTTCGTCAGTCTTTGAAATAAACGTGCTTCAGTTATTAAGTCCGAGTTTTTCTTTTCTTCCTATTTTTTTAGCCAGTTTTAGAAACGACAGTTAATGGAGATGAAAAATGAATTTTTGAAAATTCATAGTAAAGAAAATAAAGCATAAATCTACGACAGAATTCAGTATCTCAGACTGAACGGAGTCGAGTCGGAAAAATAAATTCTTCACTCTATAAAACGAATTTTCACTTACGAATTGCTGGGACCTGGTTAGAATGTTACAATTCAATGCTAAAATGAGCAATTGGCTCGTTTGAACGACGCAGTGACACAGAACAAAGCATTTGGTGACTGAAGCAATGAAACCGACAGTTGATTTTCAAGCATGGAAACGCGAATCCATGTGGTACAAATTGGGATCATTCTTTTTTTGTTGGAATACAAGTTCCAGCTATAAGATTATATATATTTACTGAATATATAATGTTGTAGTGAATATTAATTTACATAACGATGCCTGGATGGTGATGCTGTTAATTCAATTCAACTGAATAATGATGCTATGAATATTAATTAAAATAATGATGACTGGGTAAATATGGAGTAACGTGCCTGCAATAAGACTATAGTTTTTCCATTGAAACCGCTTTTTTAACTACTTTCACTCTTTGGCGATGTTTATTGTTTTAAAAAGCGATTAGTAGAATTCTAATAAAACCTAAACATATGAAAATGACTTTATACATTTTTTCTTCTTCTTGGGAATTGACAACAAAAATATCGGCTATTCTTTTAGCAATTATCGATGATAATTTTTTTTTATTTTTAAATTTAACTCAATGCATGCATGTTTATATGTATGTATCTAGTTGTAGGAATGTTTTATTTTCCAAACACGGTCAGCACATTGTGGCCGTGTTCATAGCTAATGTTATTGTGTGTTGGCTATTCCTTTTTTATTATTAGGGCGTACATTATTCTTAAGCTTTTTTTTACATGCACGTGAAACCATTGTATTAGATTGTCCCAAAAGTTCGTAAACACTTGCAAAAAATTGAAATTTTAATCGCCAAGTAATAACAAAAACAACAAAAATTATTCCTCAAAATAAAGACCATCATTTTCCAAGACTTTCTGCCATCGATCTGCAAGCTTTCGGATCTAGTGAAAGTACCATTCAGCCGGCTTCGAATCAAAGAATTCTTGACACGCTTCCTTGACGTCATCAAACGAGTCGAATCGGCGGCCCTTCAGAAAGTGTTGCATTGAGCGTAAAAGGCCGTAATCTGATGGAGCACAGTCAGCATTGTAGGCTGGATGCGGCAGAACCTCAACGCCGTCCAGCTCTTCAAACTTGTCTTTGGTCTTCCTGGCGGTGTGTGGCTTGGCATTGTCCTGCTGCATCAAAGCGCGCTTTCGGTTGATCAAAGCCGGGTACTTTTGCTTCAATTTTTCGTAGACCCGCTCCAGTTGCTGTCAGTAAAGTTCGGCACTGATGGCACGACCATTCGGAACCAACTGAAAATGCACGATTCCTTCAAAGTTCCATCAAACGCACAACATGACTTTCTTGCCGAATCAATCTTGTTTTGGAACCGACGGTGTCTCTTGCCCTTTCTGAAACCATCGCTTGTCTCGATTGTGCTGGATTGTGTTGCATAAAAATTCAATTTTTCGCAAGTGTTTACGAACTTTTGGGACAACCTAATATTTAAGATAAAACTTTGTTGCGGATAGAGTTTTGTCAGTTTCCCTGTCCGTTTAAATGGATCATAATTGACCTATGATCAGAGAGGTGAATATATATATATATATATATATATATATATATATATATATATATATATATATTGAATGTTTCCCCCTAGTGTAGGATCGTTAATTAATCTGAAACTTTTAAAACCATTTATTTTCTTTTCAACATCATCACTTGATAAGACACAGAGTGTGTTGAAACAAAATGGCTATTTTTGTAGTGATTTTATAACATACTTATGTTATAATTTTTTTATAAAAAATAATTATATATATATATATATATATATATATATATCTTGCTTGAAATCTCTTCTTCATTTGCCTGGAATCCTAGAATATAGCAGTTTTTGCGAGGATTGATATAATATAATAGTTTTTGCACTCTTTTCTTTGTATTTAACGAAAAAAAAAATCATGTTTGTTAATACTTTAGTTAGCTTTTGGAAGGCATCTTTCGCAGTTGAAATCCGTTTTCGAATTTCTGTGTGACAATTTCTGTTGGTCTGTCACAACACTTCCCATGTAGTTGTATTGAATCAATTTCTAGATCTACTGTCAGGAAAGTTGTTTCATTGTTTCGTGCCAGACAATTCTTGTCGTCAGAATGCTTTTTGCACATTTAGAGCTGACGGCCATATCCCGTTGAAACACCGGTTCCCGTATGATCACCGATGTTAAACAACGTCGACCCTGGTCAGTACATATAGGGGTGTCCGCTTTGGAATACCAGGTGCTGTAAACTTGGATATCAGGCTGGCGTAATCGATAATGGCAAGGAATTGTGAATCGGAGATTCGAGTTCCAATTCCAGTTGGGTTCATTATATTCATTTAAGTGCAAATACCCATAGGAAAAGTATAAATCCACCTCTTCTTGACAGTTAGAGATTAATTAGGAAAACTTGTATCGCTAAATCATAAGTATCTCAAAAGAAATTAATCTTGAAATCTAAACATATTTTCTGGTTTTAAATAACCCGCAAATGGTTAATAAGCCGTCGTAAATGAATGAATTAACGAATTGTTAGAGGTTAAAGTAAATGCACCGCTCATTTTAGACAGTATTCATTTCATCAATCGGCTGGTGTATTCGAGAAAACTTGATCAAGAAAATGTACCCTCCGAGCAGGATACGAATCTGCGTCCCCCTTGATGATTTGACGTGCGTTGACCGCTCGGCCACGAATAGTGTGTGTATATATATATATATATATATATATATATATATATATATATATATATATATATATGTGTGTGTGTGTGTGTGTGTCATTCGCAGACAGTACTGTTTCGCTGTGTCACAGCGAATCAGTGCGACTAGAGAACCGAATGCCTCAAGCTCGGATCGAAACCCAACCCATTTGGTGTTAGTCAGCGATTCTACCACTGATTCATCCTCACTTCACAGTATAAGACAGCCAAATCTCGCGTATTGTTTTTTTTTACAAAAGTAAACAAAAGTCAAGCAGCCATAGTGCTTCATTCATTTTAATGAAGAGCTTCGCATTTAAGCAGGTGACCGTTTTTTAGAATTAGCTCGTCATATATATATATATATATATATATATATATATATATATATATATATCACTTGAAAACTCTTCTTCATCTGTGAAGAAATTGTCCACCATTCACTACTATATGGGGATATTGATATATACATATATATATATATATATATATATATATATATATTGAACTCTTTTCTGTGAATTTAACAAAAATATGTTTCTTTTACTTCATACTACTGTTCAATCAATACAAGGCCCAAGAGCCACTCAGTATAGAATATTGAAAAATTGTGAATACATTGAGTTTATGTAGGATAGATGACGATTGATTCGTGGGTGAAGTGATTAAGATCGTAGTGGTTGCGGATGCATGTTTGCAGTTTCTTTATAAGGAAATATCCGGTTTCATTGAGCGAGAATTTAGACGTGCTGTCGGTTGAGATTTGTAAAATCTTTCTCTTGGAAAAGTTTTTCAGCAAAATACGTTTCGTAAATCGAGTTGTGTTTAATCCTCGTTCCAGTATTGATGGAGGTTTCTTTCCTTGCCTTTTGTTTGGAGCAGAGTGGAGCATCAGCATTTTGATTACGTCATTATTCTTTTTTCGAATTGTATGTACCATACATTTTAGTTGTTGCTGCTGTTGAAAGTCTTCAAGTGATGCGGTTTCTGTTATCTTGTACAGTTCTTTGTTTATGATTCTGCAACGCAGGTCCGCGGAGTTCAAACAAGTATGACCCTCTCTAAAGCCTACACGCTTGACTCGCTCGAAACCATCAATCTGAGAAAACAGTTGCATATAGTCGCAGACAGTATAGATATTTCAGAACGAGTTTGGCTCTATGCATGGCATCTATATGAAGGTCTCTATCTGACGAAAATATTTAAGAACATGGATCCTGTATTTGGGTTGATGCTTTGGTTTCATAGCAACCTGTGGTGTAGGGGAAACTAACACAAGTACAACCTATTCTATGTTCGATTTCCTTATCTCTTATACTAAATCGGTTGTAATTGAGCCCTACTCTGAGGTATTTGAAGTGTTTGGCCTTTACTAATTCCACATCCGGAAATCTTTGAACGGATACAGGGTATGTTCCATCACTGCTTTCATCCCAATTCCGGTATATAGTTTCGGTTTTGGAAAGGTTTATTTTGAGTTCCACTTCATGGAATACTTTGTAGAGGATACTGATTTTTTTGTTGAAGATCATTCTTGTCTCAGAACTGTATAGTTATGTCATCCGCATAGACCCTCACCTTCATCCTCTGTACATTGGCCTCGGAAGCAGAAGCATGTTAATCATGATTAGAAATTAACAACATCCAAAAAAAGAACTCTTGAAAATGGCCAAAATAATGTGCTGGAATGGATACACTTTTCTCTTTAGTAACCGCTTCAGTTCTTGCATTAATTCGACGATGTTCTGTGTTATAGACTGATTTCACCGTGGAGGCTTGTATTTGTACTAAGTTGGTCCTAAAATAGGTTCGACGTACAAAACGTTAGGAACTGGATATAATAGGTAATGACGCAGAGAAATCTAGTTGTGGTCGCTGATACTTTAGTATCCGACTAACGGTCGTCCGGCATCGACTGACTGACCAACCCACTGAGCGACCTCCTCGTTACTATTACTACTCCTACTTATTATAGGTGGGAGAGTCTATTAACTATAGAATAGGTGTGTTCCACTATAACATTCTGGAAGAAGACTCTGGAAATGTAGGTCCATCATGTTATTGCGGCACCTCCAATTCTTAGAAATTGGTTTCTTGTATTTCCAGGTTTTGAATCTGACTTTCCACCACATACCGTAATTGCTCTATCAGATTGAGCTCCTGTAACTGTGGAGACCATTTTCACATAGAACAAATAATTGCTTTGTTCTATGAACCAAGCTGTCACTACATTTTTTTTTATTTGCGACAAGGTTCGTTAACATGTTGGAATTGGCTACCAGAGAACGGAGGCACCGTCATTGTAAATTGACGTATGTGGCCAGCACAAGACAATTTAAACGATTTTTTTTATTGATGCCAGTTGTCCACAATATAAACCATAAACTATAAATAGCCCAAAATGTGTTCCGATCCACAATTATTCCAACTCACTACCCTCCAGAATAATTCAACACACAACCGTTGCAGGCCACTAAAATAACCGCTAAAATAATACAACAGACTACCCACAATGCAATACAATAAACTACCCACAATGCATCAAGTACATGTAGATATACCGGCTGTAACAGCAAAATTGTCCAAATCGTTTCACTGCATGGGATAATTGTCCATTTCACAAAATTCTAATATCTAAAAAAATCACTAAACTCGTTGAGTGTCTTTTTCCCAGGCTTTCACATAAGACACAAATGTGTCGTAAGAATCACTGAAAACCCCTTTGAGTTATTCAGCTAAAAAAAGAGAACAAGTTAAAATCTTTTTGCATCAGCCCCACTATATCTTGCTAACTAAGCAATGGTGAGAGCGAAAAGATCATTCAGGCCTTCAGTAATTGTAACAATATTCATATTGTGGATTCCATCTTCAAAGTCTATTCAAGAACCATCAAGAGAACGGTGAATACGTTTAAAAAAGAGGGAACAGTAAAGAGGAAAACTTGATCAGGAGGTCACAACAGGAAGAGGGATAATCATTTCAAATTATAGCTAAATACATTCTTATTGTTCAAAGTAGAATCCAATAGTGCTATAAAAACATGGAAGAATTCCAGTAAGATATCTTTAATCATTTCTAAAATTCAACGGTTCAAAGCTTAAAATTTTAATTGGACAATTTTGCTGTTAACCCCGGTGTAGAAATTGAGTAAAAACATAACACACATGGCCTGACGATTGTGTTTAGCATGAAATAGACTCTCACCCCTCGGTTTTGACTTCAATCTCTCTCTCTCTCTATATATATATATATATATATATATATATTGGCGATCATGCCTCTCCACAATTTCATGACCTTTGTAGCTCCTCGTAAATTCTGGCTTTTTGCTGTCACTCCTAATCCCTGTTTTGACAACTATTTACACTTAAGTATGTGCTGTTTTCTCTGTCCTTCTTGCCTTCAGTGAATGCTAAATGCTCTAAGCCCTAAGAAATTTCAACTGTCTCTTTCTGATGTCAAATATAAACCCAGACGACGTTTTTGTTTCCATTTTCTTTAAGACTTCGTCGTTGCTCTTATTTCCAGTCCATGGTATCCTCAACATCCTTCTGTAGAACCACAATTATGTTGCTTCAGGTCTATTCTTCATCGGGGAAGAGATTGTCTAGCATTGGTTTTTAAATATCAAGGCGTTAAATGAATAAGAGAACTCAAGCTTGTCTGTTATTCATTTTCATCTCACAGCCATTTTTTTCTTTCACCCGCTTTTCTTTCCATTTTTTTTATTGTTTTCTTACTTACCCTCTATTTAAATAGCAGTAAAATAAAAGAGGTAAGGGGATGTCGCTATTTCGTGTGAGCGTGTGTATCTAACACTTTTCACACAACGCACAGATATTACACTGATCTGAGGAAGATTTGACAGACAGCGATTCTAGTTAGAATGCACACGTGATCTAATCCATGGCTAAAGTGCCGAATCTGGGAAAAATAATCCTGGTATTTTTTACGAGCACTGCGCTAGTTACTTGTGAATTCACCCAAGTATCCCCACCTCAATGAAGACAAAATGAATTATGACTGAACACGGTATATAGACAGGCAATGATTATGACTGAACACGGTATATAGACAGGCAAGGATTATGACTGAACACGGTATATAGACAGGCAATGATTGTCATATTTATAAGATGAGGTGTTCAAACTGTGATCGGTTATCTGAAAACGTTGCGATAAATATGGCGACATAGATGAGGACAATAGTACGGATAATGTAAATAGTGTGAACGGTTAGTAGAAACAGAATTCTGAACCAGAACTTTGGGAACCAAGATAATAAAACAGACCGCAGCATCGGGCTATTGACGAATCGCCTTCAATAGCTGTGGTTAGTCAAATTCTGAACAATAAATAATAAAACAGACCGCAGCAACGAATCCTGTGAAATAGCGAAATGCTACTATTCCCGTAAACCAGAGACGACACTTGAAATAGCGTAAGATACAGGTTAAATATAGAGAAACCTACCGCTGAGCTCCGATAATTTATAGCTTACTGGGAGAGTTTCCAAAAGTCTCTAACACTGCTATTGGCACAATTAGATT